TATATATATATATATATATATAGACACACACACACACACATACATATGTGTGTGAATTCTGCGACAGCTGCATGTTTATCAACTACTACTAGCCTTTGTTAGCCTGTGTGTGTGAAGACCAAATCGAATGAACACTCTGAAAAGAGACACAGGACGAAGAACACATCTCACCTGCCAGACCCCAATAACAGCATTGGCGATGAGGATAAGAAGAATAACAATCGGCTCTACGAAGGCGGTGGTTGTCTCCTCTCCTTCTTCAAACAGAGCTAACACCTATACGAACATACAGTACAAATTAGCTTAGCCAACATAATAAACTAGCACTCTTTAAAACCTATGTTAGCTCGCGTACATTTTCAGAAGAAGCTCGGTGCGACAAAATCATAAAATCAGGACAAATAAAACGAAGCAGTATTTGAACAAAGCAGCTGTCACTGTTTGAGTGGGCCTGTGCTATCCTGTCTTTAAGTCTGACGTCATTAGCCGTTTCTGGGTCCAAAATCTGCTGCAGGTCCATAAGTCAAGCGATCACTGCGGTATCACTGAGAGTTAAAAACTGTCTAAATTCTTTCATCTTTAATAAAATCATCAGCATTGCTGCTTTACCAGGTGTAACAATTAAGTTTAACATCCAGGCATCCATGAAAACAGAATTTATTACATTTAAGTTAGAAGTTAGCAGGAAGTTAGCTCGCTAGCTTCCATCTAAACATAATATAGCATGTTTTGACAGAGAGACTTCTGAAACAAATTCAAACGTACAGCTCTGCTATCACTTCCAACATAAATGAAGACAGAAAACTAAACAGCAGTGACGTTTGTAGGGTTACTGAAGTTGGGCTAGCTGGTTTAAAAATGATGTGCTGCGTGATCGCTAGCAACACAGCTATGTTAGCATAAACACAGTGAAGCTGGAGGATGAATGCTAACTTTTTTTCCACTGGATAAAAGTTAACGTGAAGGTTCCCGATGGTTAGGGACAAATGCAATCACATGGCAGGATGCTGTAAACGGACCAAACTTCAGTCAGGAGAACAACTGAGATAATCCATCCACAATACCAGGTTAGTCATTAATATACTGCTGCATGGGCTGGAGTTACATCGTAAGGATTTAAAAACTGAGCTTTAAAATGAATAGCGGTAATAAAAACCGAGAGAGGCCGACAGTGATCACTGACTGTTTTTAGAGGCTTGTTGAGATTAAATAGAACAAGATACAAAGCATTAAAACATGTTAAACACACAACAGACTTAATAAATGCAGAGTAGTTTGGGCCCGGAAGCAGGATTCATCACGTCGTCACTTAAAGGTTAGCTTGTGTAGCCTTTAGCATCTTTTGGTTTCAGGTTCCTTACACAGTCCTACAAGATAAACTCACGCTCACTGCAAGTTTACATTCACACGAGATTCCTAACTTGGAAATTCAATCTCATGTCTTTGAAATAGACCAAACCACCACTCAAAATATTTATCCGCTACTTCACATTTAGCTATTTACCTTAAAAGTTTAGCTAGTTAATCATCTTCTACTGGTTTATTACTTTAACCAGCTATCAACTAGCTCACTTTATCCAGTTATTTGAACTACAAATTGTTTCAATCCTTCAATTATTTTGTGCCATGGCAATCCTTTTTATTAACAGTTTGAACATTCATTTTGGCTAATACGTACACAGCTACAGAGCCAGTCTGACGTGTAAATGATGAGTTTTGACCCCTCAGCCAATAAAGGACCTCGCCGGGCAGGCAGGTCTGCGACGTGGACACTTAAGTTTGTGGTAACTCAGCCACTGGTATTTTTATGTCATTTCATATGGACTTAGCATCCGTTCGTTTCCAGAGTGGATTTTCTTGTTTCAGTTTAGCTTTAGTTTGGTTTTTAATAATTTCAGTGTTTGAGTCTTTTTCATTACTATGATGTATGAAGGGCAGATGCCAGAGGCAGTATTTAGGAAAATCATTGAAGGCATGACTACGATACTTTTTTGAAAGCAGTTGAAAATCTTGTAGACTCGATAAACACGCCCATCAAAGCCACATCAAACTCACTTCCATAAAACCTTTTATGAAAGTTAATGATACTAAAAGTAAGGATATTTCCTCTGTATATTTATTTTATGTGACTGCAGTAATATTCTGACCTCCAGTGTATCTGAAGTCAGGAAAGGAGAGGGCTGCTCACCGCCTGTACTATTAACAACCGAGGCACTGAAAGCAGAGAGGCTGGGAAATGGCCCGAGGGTTCAAGCCTGTTTCTCTGCAGTTAGAAGCTGCAAATGACTGCAACAGTGAGGTACAGCACAGTGCAATGAAATCACGGGAAAAGCTAATATTTCTCACACCCGGCAGAAAAAGCTGTCTTCTTTACTTTTTTAAACAATATCTGTGTGGATTCATGATTGTAATTACTCTCATGTGCATTTCTCAGAAGACTGTGCTCTTCACTTCACTCTGCAGGTTTTGCAAGTCCAAGATTACATCAAATGAAGGGTAAGTTGTGCACACAGAGTAATGGCAAAAACATGTAGCTGCCTTGCCCAGAGCATAATTATGATGTATGACAAGCAAGGGTGATAAAAACTCAATAAAGTATGAGATCACTGAGTAATTTCAATGATTAGGATTACAAAGAACAAACTGGATGAAGTCAAAGCTGTGTTTTTTTTAACCTAGTGTTGTATTCACAGCATACCTGCGACTGAACTGTGTTTATGAAAACATAGTTTGCTCATTTACCTGTGTGACATTTTACAAATGCCTACCAACATCACACGACGTCCAGTCCACAGCTCCCTGATGAATGCAGACTTAGAACATGGTTTATATCTTTGTCTCAAACTGTGAAATTTTCATTATTATTATTATTCAAACAGCTGAAACTATAAAATGATAAAGACTCTTAAACAGGCTGCCCTTCACATCAGTGGTCACGGGAAACAATTATCCACTAATAAACACATATTTAACTTTGTAGAAACTTTGAAAAACTAAACTTATCATTTAGTACCACTCAGTATCTATTAGTCTTTAAAGACACGTCTGTGTGCGTCAGGCAGCTTAAGCATGAAAAACATCCCTGCACTCTGAAATTTGTGATCGTTTTTTACCAGATATAGTTTATTGTGGCAAAAGCACAGTCACCCAACAGCTGAGCTGTAGGTTTTTGCCTAAAGCTGTCTTTACACATGCACTGTATGTCCAGTTTGTTTCTAGACTACATCGTGCCTTTAAGGTTCATTATAAAATAATAACACAATAAGATACCCCAGAGGAACAGAGAATAGTTTTCACATTATTTTATCACTGGTGAGAGTAGAAACTAAAATGACTGCAGCAGAAAGCAGCACAGACAGCAGTGGGTAAAGTGGATCTATTTTTCGATTATCTGATGGGACTTATCAAAGACAGAGGACAATTTTCTCTGCAGAGTATTAAGAGCCAGAGTATACGTCACGGCAGCCTGAGCTCGGTCGATAGCTCATCATTCCCCATCGTGTGGGACGGTAAATCTCCCTCCTGTCTGAGCGGAGAGTGGAGGGCACCGATGTCAGTCCTCCGAGTATGGATGGCTCAAAAAACCAGGACGCGCTCAGAGAGCGGACCGAGTACCAACGCCCACCTTCACGGCGAGCAGGAGTTCAAAAGCTGGAGATTTCTTTGGCTTTTTGAACTTATTGAGGGATTCTGGTGGAAATTTCACTGCATGCATTTGGCAGTCTGAGACAAAATTAAGCTCAGTTTCACTGATGGGTTTGGAAACTCATGCTCCATCACCAACATCAGCATACAGCTCGCGTTCCTCAGATCCCACACACACAGCGACATGCCACAGAGTTTCAGAAAAGCCTTATTCATAAATCATATTGATCAGAAAGGAGAACTCATGGAACGTCGTGTAGTGTGGCCTTCTGCGCGTCACCTCCTTTCTTTATATTGTGCTTCCAATGAGCCAGACTTTGTCTGAGGGTCGTTCATAGTTTCCTTTGTCTGCCTTTCCGCTCATTTTCAGTCCAGTCAGGAATAAAGTAATTTCCTCGGCATGCTGTGCAGTGTGCCGGGTGAGTGCAAGACAAAAGAAGAGGTGGCAGGGAGGGCTGTGCCGTACCATCCACGACAGAAAAATGTCATATCACTATATTATTGCGATATCATCAACAGGATGCGTTTATGTTCCAAGACGAGCCCGGGCGTGTCTGAGAGCCGCGGGAGCCGTGTGGAACCTGGTGATGCGTGACCCACACATCGCTCTCCACATGACAGGAAGAGCAAACGGTGGATGGAAAGCACTGAAGTGGTTGCATAGTGGAAAAGCAGGGCTTCGGGCAGCTGGTTAAAAAGCTCAGCCCAGACGGAGAAAACATTTTCAGCTTTGTTGTGTGACAGTACTGCGCAGCTCCTGAGGAGTCACAGGGTTCAGTTACTTTAGCAGATATCTTTTACTTTAAATGTGCCCCCAGCTGCCTTTGTGCTGACGGGCACTGTGACATAATGCTGAGTCACTACTATTACACTACCGTGGTGCTGCTGCCACCTCATTTCAATACACACACACTGCAAAACAGGAAGCGTGTCATCACTGACACAATGAAGCTCACTGGAAAAGAAAGATGGAAATGACCTTCGCTCACTTCCAAAACAATACTTTCTTAACTTCCACAGAAACATCGTTATCGCACATTTGATGTATCCTAATATCAGGCTACATCTCTCTGCCTAACATCCATCAGATGAACAGTATGTGAAAGTCACGTCCTTGAGAAATGGATAAACAGGAAAAATGCATCTTCAGTTGATCCACCTACTGTTCACTGAAGCCTCATCGGGAACGGCATCAGTGGAAGGGTGGATGTCACGAAGCATTTTATAAGGAAGGGGAAAAGGCTGAGGTATGCCACGTCACACAGGAACTGAGCTGAGAATCAGTGGCAACGTCTGATGGAGCCACGGATCCAAGTTTACATTTTTTGGGCTGAAATCATCGTCAATGTCAATCGTCCGACAGGGAGCCGATATCTACATGGTGGAGGCTGCGTCAGGGTTTGGGGCAGCAGTGGTGTTGGATCCAGATGCAGTTTTCAGTTTTCATCTTGACTGAGAAAAGAAGAAAAAGCAGCCGAGATCCAAAGAAGAGCCTTCAAGAGACCCAGAGAAAAGTACAAGAACAGTTCAAGATTTCAGGCTGTTCAAGAATAAAGACGCACACACCAAATATTGACTTTCCAGCTGTTCCATGCCTGTTTGCACAGTTCAATAAACTGCTGCACCCATTCTCCAAGCACAGTCTAAAGAAAGGAGGCTTTTGCACAGTCTGTAACTGTAAGCTGGTGCATAACTAACTGTTTGTGAATTCAGTTCCTCATTTATTTGCTGTACATTAATAGCATATTTTATAAAATGTCCCAACTTGCCCAGTTTCCCACTGGTGCGTCATTGAAAGGAACCAGGGAATCTAATACTGTCAATTTGAATATATTGAAATTAGCAGACAAATAAGTCCGAGATTAGGGCTCAAGTTCAGTCCACTGAGAATCAGCCACACCCTGGTTGTAGTGGAAACATTCAAAACAGCAACAAAACAGCAAAATAGCTGTGAAATAAGAGTTCTAATAAAGTCAACTCTCTGGGCTGGATGACTTTGGATTTCAAGTTGAATCAGGTCACAAGAAAACTTGAGTTTCTGAGCTGACACCACTCCAGGCAACGGTGACACTGTAAAGTGTTCGGGTAGTGTAGCAGTGGAGCAGGTTCCACTATAAACAATCTGGTAAAAGTAAGGAAAGCCTGATTTGCATGAGGAAATTTAAGCCATGCTTCAAAGTCATGGCACCAAAGCCCACGCCTGCACTCCGCGTTTGTCACTAACAGAAGAAACAGTAAAAGATAGATTGGGTCGGTTTTTGTGCCGTTTTCCTACTTTCAGAAACAGCTAGAGCAATTCCATCCCAAGTCACCAGTGCTGTGCTGTAATAGATGGAAAAAGTTATTATGCAGTGAGGATTGCACCACTCCACCCCTCTCTGACCTTCACCTCCCTCAAACTGCAACTGGGGTCACAGTCTGAGGGAACGGGAGCTTTGATTGAGAGTTTTGTTTCCAGTTTGGCACAAGCAAGGAGACTGCACTGAACGCATATCAGCACTGGGTGGAAAAGCCTGCGACAGACACGTTTCCACACAAACTGGGTAACCAGAATCCTAACAGGGGAATAACAGTGCAGTCTATTAGGTGGCGACTTCCTGGACAGTTAGGGTCTCAGATCCCCGAGCGGTACATCTGAAAATGGAGACTGACACATTTTAATTAGCAGGGTCATACTTACAAAGGAGACGCAGGCAGCCAGCAGCAGGATCCTCACCAAGAGGTCTTCAAACTGCTCCACCACCAACTCCCACAGGGACTTGCCTGAAATGTTTAAGTACACATTGCACACCTCGATGCATCACACTTGATTTAACGTTGAAGGCTCTCGCTGTAAAGACGTGTGTCCTGGAAAGACGTGTTGACATTAGCTCTCTAATACTGATAAAACAAGACCAATGCTGTATCTACAGTGTTGTGTGTCCATGGGTGGGTAGCTGCTATAGTGGACACTGCCAAGATTACCCCTCAGTCAACAACAAGAAAGAAAGAAAAGATCCCGGCTCAGGATACTTCATTAAGCACAGAGAGGAGGATCACAGCTCAGTGCAAAAATCAATATTTACCTTCTTCAGCTGGGAGCTCTGTGGATGTCACGCGGTGCAGGTCGTAGAAGAGTCGAATCGGCAGGGCCGAGGCGGAGGAGAAAAACAAGAAGAGAGCAGTTAATTACCTCAGTGTGACTTTAAGATGCACGGACACGCACAAATTGCTCTGTTGAATTGTTCCGCTTGGTTACGATGATTAAACGCTCCGCGCAGTGAGGCAGGACAGCGACGCCGTTGTTTTTCCAAGCCGAGGACTACAGGACGCAATCACACGTCTACTGTTGTGATGACCAGCAAGTCCAATTCTAGGATCAGCCACTCATGGAAGTGCAGCTCGGGATGTTTTGCACAGCGAACCACAGACCACCAATCACCTTTGACTGCTCGTGGTGATGTAACGGCTAACCAGACTCAGTCTCGCCACCTCACAGATGTTTCATGACGAGCGTTTCTTCACTAAGACTGAAAAGCCAAGTTATAAAACTTCAGTTGATATTCTTTTGGAAACCCATACCCACTGCCTGTTAATCAGATATTTCTGAAGGCCCGGGCGACCTCTGACTGACCTCATTATCAAGTCACTGCTGATTGCAAACAGGTTATTCAGTAAGCTGACAGTCGTATATGGGAGACACTTTTTTTGCTCAAAACTAAACTAAATTTTTTAACTAACTTTGTTATAAACGTCCAACCTCATGAATCCCTGCAGCTTCCATGCTGTTTCTGAGCGTGGCAGCAAAGCTCCCGATGCTAGTGTAAGAGACAGAGTGATTGCAATTATAACTAATCTATCCAATGAGCCACTTCAGTTCAGAAATAAGATTAGCTTTATAATAAAGGTAATCTGTGTTAGTTTATCAAGGCAACAGGTTGCTCTCAGCACTGGTGCACATTCTGTTTACTGCACCAAACCCTTTTGTTCATCCACGAGCTAATATCCCACAAAAACAATCACCAAGATTTCAGCACGTTGCTCCGTTCTGTAACATTTTCTTGTCATTTTCAGGCTTAATCGACATTTCAAAGGAGAAATTGTTTGTTTTTTGGCATTCCAACATCCCCCCACGTACATGAGTCAGCGGCAAGAGTAGAAAACACATCAGTCATGTTCTAAAAATGCTCCAATTGACAAGCACTGTTGATCAGTGTCACCACAATGAGACAAAAGCATAGTCGCCGTGTTTGTCGGGCCCATATCGGGTCCAGTGCAAAGTTACGACTGAACAGGTCGGACGTAGCAAACGACCTGAGGATGCATCACTGGACGCGTTTGCTTCGGCGGGATTAGTTATGAATTCTTTCCAGGAGAGTGTGCGTGTTTTTTTACCGACTAAGGGAATCAAAAAAATATTATTCTTTAATCCACTCCTTTTAAGTGAAGCTTTTTCTGCATATAAAATAAGTAAAAGCTTGAATTACAGCCCTCATTACAGAATGACTGTGGAAAAGCAGCTATACTTAGAAGGCAGTGGGCTGCAGCTCTCAATAATAGCAGCATTCTCCTTTAAGCAGTGGAAACCCCGTGTTTCTCTGCATGCTCTGACCACACTGTGCAACACGTGTGTCTAATGTGTAGAGAGGAACTGGAAAGAGGCCGTGACATGAGGCCTCGGCACTCCTTCCACTCGCTGGCGCAGAGAGAAATAAACTGTGTTTTTAGGTGGAGAAGAGATGCTAAAAGCAACCGGGGAGCATGCCAAATTAGATGAAAAGGCTCCTTTATTTACTTTAATAAAACTACACACAGGCCACCACTTCAATGTCCACTTGATAAGGTTTGATAAGGTCAAACCTGCAGCTGATCTGTTAGCATTTCTGTATTAGAAAACAACCATCTTGCGGGGGTTGACCCTCACACTGTGGTCAGCTCTCTCCGCTCCACAAAACACCCTCCTCAGACTGTGTATTAATAGCTGATGAGTCACTGTGAATAGCTTTTCTAACCTGCCATCTGAAGGGTTTTCTGAGTGCACTCTGCCAGCAGCAGCAGAAATGTGGAGAAGTGGGTTCTGCTGTTTTCCATGCTCCACCAGTGTGACATAAGCCTCTTTCCCCATAACTGTGCCTCCCCGGTTGTATAATGTTTTTATGGCAGACAGGCTGGCTGTGACCCGACTGCATGAGACAAAGACGGGCTGACTGAAAGGACGAGACAGACACGAGGGTGGGGGATACAGCGAGGAAAAGAGATGGAGGTGTTGAATGGGGTTCCCCGGCTTCCCTCTGCCAAGGATTCCCTCCCAGTCATCCGGGCTCTGTCAACGCGAGGCTTGCCCAGGCACATTCCTGAATACTGACTTCACCTCTCTCCTCATGTCCCCACAGCACCTCCCCACCTCCTCCTCCCTTCTTCCAGCCCAGACAATGAATAAAAGAGGCTGTTTACACAGAACAGAAAAACTGAGCAGTGCCTAGAAGAAGGGAGACACTTCCTGGAGACAGTTGCCAACAACAGCAACAGTGAGATGCTCTCTGTGTTCAGAGCATCAGGAAGCAAAGCAGGAAACAGTCCGTCTTTCTTTCTGCACTGCAAACAATCTGCCGATAAAGGATCTCACAGTCCGAGCTGCCCCCCCCCTCCCCCTTGCTCTGAGTCCATTAACAAATTACAGGCCAGATCATTAAAACCCCCAGTAAACATCACATCTGAGTGTGTTAAGCAGTGTTAACAAGCCAGAATCCAGGCTGACTTGTGAAAACTACAAACACAACAAAGTTTTCAGCAGTTACCATGGCGACTTGACTCATGAAGACTCCTTGAAAACAAGTGCGTTACAAGGTAATGTGCAAGTGTCTGTCAGAATTGACCAAGAATAACTATTATGCAATCAGTGGGACCTTGATGTAGCATGCAGGCATCAAGCCCCCACACATTCTCATGTAGATAAGCTCACTGCTGGCCTGCTACTAAAACACCATTAGCATGCAGACAAGCAGACACACCTCCGAGCACACAGCTTACAGTCACCCATCGATTGAGGAGGAGCACGGGGGTGAAGGAGAAAGGAGTATGGAGGCAGTGTGGTGAGGCGTGTACTGCTCGGGGCACTAGCTGAAGGATTCGGCTCCATCCACTAACCCTGAATGCAAAACAGGTCTATAAATAGCATGATGGTAACCCCTAATGATAGCTTCCTACATCCACTAAATGTGTTGTCCCACTGGAAAAGGTCTGAATGCATTAACCGTATCAAATGTGAATGATAAATGTACTTCATTCTCCACCCTAACATCATTATCGCCGCTGCACAGAAAACACTGCAAGTGACTGCAGAACAGACATCCGCAGTCTGATAATGTCAAAGTTTCTCTCCTTTACATAAATATCGACAGAGGGCTTCCCTATTCTGAGGAGCTCATATCGAACTACGTCACGTGGGCGAGTATCAGCGACCATCTTTAGGAATCCCTGACCTCTGCCAGGCAACCCTAAAGATCTGCTACCACAGGAACAAGAGCAGTGATGCTAAAGTTACTACAAGAACATCAAGTCCTCACATACGGCCGATGTTCAGTCATTTAAGCCCCAGAAATCGTTCATAGTGGATTAAAGCTGCTCCGCTCAAACAAAAGAAGATTAAGTCAACACAGCCAAGCTAACTGTGGTGCTTTGAGCTAAACGCCAATGAGAACACGAGGATTCTAGTGTAGCATGCTAATGCTATTTAGCAGCACGCAACAAAGCTGAGGGGAGCAGCTGTTTAGTCACAAACAGTGAAAGTAGTCGTAGAGTGTTGGAGCTGCAGAAATGGTGACCGTGTAGTTAGAGGAAAAGTCTGATGACTTCTGAAGTGACAACAACTCAGTTTGAGAGAAGCATAGAAATGTTCACTGGTGACCCAGCCAAAATGTGGCTTTTCCCCAAAATGCAAATTCCCACACAAAGAAAAAGCTAGAAGAGAGGGATTCCTGCTACTGGAACTGGCAACATCTTGTCAAATTTTGAGCCAACCCAAATTGGCTCAATGTCACATATATTTGATTCAGTTATTTGAAACAGTATTGGACCAATTTCTGAAGTAGTGAATCCTTTAGCCTGCAGGCATTCAAACATCAGTGGAAGCACAGCTCAGTTTCTGTAAAGTTTTTATTGCCGGCAAAAATTCTGCTGTTCTTTGAAATATTTCAGGAAAAATCCTGAAATATAAAGTTAGAATAAGTCAAGATTTCTTGAGCAACAAAGGACCAAGTTTTCCCTAACAGCAGAATAAGAACAGCATTGGCGTTTTCCCAGTTCACATTATACAAACTTTGTCAAAATAAGTTGGAACTATGGTTTCATTTTGGTGGAAGAAAAATTATATTAACATGCACAGTGGGGACAAAAAGGACGCAGGATGTTCTGCTCAATACAATTTGGCATTAGCTGCGATGATATCGATTAACCGATAGGGTCGTGATTCTTCCCCTGCTGAGCCCACAGAGGAGAAATACCATCAGCTGTCAAAGCTGAAAGGAGATTAGCTCTTTTGTGCAGCTTCTCTCTGAAAGTCTGCGTCATTAGAGAGACTGAATTTAGTTTCAAAGTGGAGATTTTCCTCTTTTCGAGCCAGTTACGACATGAGATTGAGGGTAACGGCCGCTGCAGCTGTCCATTGGCTGCACTGTATCTGACGTCATCAAAGCTGTGGTCAGGGAAAAAGAGAGCGAGTTTTTTCCCTTTGGTTGTTGCACAAGATAGAGCATGCTGAAATCAAACTGTAGCATCATTCTCACGTTCTAAATGCACGCATGCAAGTGTCCTGCTTATTTTACTGCATCGATCATTTGCACGCCATGCTCGACTGAGCCACGAAAGAGTGAAAGTGCTGATGAAGACCAGAGATACAACATCTATATTTAGGCCTTAATGTAAAGAACACTGCTCTCTAACTGTTCACACCCCACGCACACTGCACACTGCTCTTTCTACATCAGATGCAAGTTTAAATAAGCATCCAATAAAGTGCTTTTCCCCACATATTGCCACTAAGTATCTTCAGCTCTGCTGTCAAATTATAGAGGAAAAGGAAGAGGGCCTGTCAACAGAGCAGGACATGCTTGAGATGATTAGCAAAGAGCCCGTATCGCGTCAGGGCTCAGAGTTTCCTCTTTAAGGTCACAGCTGTGCAAAGAACCATTTTTCGAACATCTCAACAGGCATCTGGCCACCAAACGAAGACGCTGTGGAAAATAGCCAGAAATCCCCAAACGGACAGACTGAAATATCTGTGTATTTATAGAGTTTCTTCTAGGTTTGGAAACCAGAGCGCTACTTCTGTCCAATCACGTGCCTGATAGATTACAACTTCACTGATGTGAACCCTGAAGCAATGGAGGCCACTGAAACTAGTTGAGCGACTTCTATAGGCTGTGTGAATGCTTGTGCCCTAGCATTTAAATATATGCTTAACATTGTAAAAGCCCCTTCTCAGCCATGTCTGTGATCCTGCCATCACACCCACCTGCTAACAGCTCATAATCACAGGGACACGATTGTTCTCGACGTCTGAAACGAACCCCAAACAACTGCTATAAATGCACCATCCTCTTCGAACAGTGTGTGGTTATTTTGCCAAAATGATCGGTAGTTTTAACCATCGTATTCAGAAAGGGCCAAAAACAGCTCCTAAAGCAGGTCTGCCTGTGAAGCCAACACTCTGTACTTCCCTTTCCTTCGTACAGCTCCGTTGTTTGGATTGTGGGCCACACTCTGGAGGGTCACGTGCAAGCTGAGCATGGTTATGGTGACATTTTCTTTTTTATTATATACAATATGTAGACAGATAAGTGATTGAGACGCTGGCTCGATGGATGGGTGCATAAAGTGTTGCTAGTAAAGGGCAGAATCGGTGACTGTAGAAACTACTACAGTCATTGGGTGGAATTAACACAAAAAGCAAGGACGCTCGTTGCATGTGCGTGCAATCGCAACTTGTAGGCACACTCAGCTTCATCACGTTTTACTTACAATACGAATGATTTTCTACATGAACGTTCTGCGGTACTAAACTTGAAACTAACGATTAGAATCACAAACTCATCAGGAAAGTGTTTACTCAGATCACAAGCTTCAGCATCCAAACCAGAGGAGGCGCCCCCTGCTGGCCATTGGCTTCACCTTTCAGACTGGGAACTGCTGCCATCTTTTAGATTCAGTCTGTTATTTAACCATTGATCCAACTGTTAGGTTCTAGTGTTCCAGCCACTAATGATCATTAATTGACATGCAGCTGATTATCCATAACCCACGCTGCTCTTGGACGTCTCTGAATGCTATTTAATGACTTTCATGTGCTCTTTACCTCTTTGTGGTATATTTGAAGGCAGTGTAGGCTACAGCACACGCTCTGCATACTGCCCACACTTTGGAACACAAACTCCGTGCATCTCCTCTGTGGATCGGACCGTGCTGTAGCAGAGCATCCGGGCAACGTGTTAGAGCCTCATGACTCAATATCATGTTAACATAAGGGCTTGATGATGAGTGACACATGCAGGGGTGGGAGGGAAGAAGCCGAGACAAGTGACAAGCTAGAACAGGATCACAGTCCCTTAGAAGGCAGCTGGGCAGGCACGCACAGAGCCACTACAACAGGGAAGTGACTCAACACCCCGAAGACTTCAAATTACTTTTCTACAACTTCTCTCAGCCCACACAACACCAACACTGTTACCGCAGTTTAAGTCTCAACTGGACACTTTTCAGTGATCGAGACGCGCTCTGCAAAGCGCCATGGTGAGTGTGCCGGCAGAGAGGAGGAGCAGGAAGCAGCGTGTCTCTCACATTTCAAATGGAGGAGAGATTAAGTCAGGCAGCTTTTATGTTGATCTGCAGAACAGGAAGAGAAACAGCCCTGTGTGAGAGCGAGATCCTACCAGAGGAAGCTGTAGTTATTATGTGTGGCAGAAACCAGACTGAAGAAACAGCTTAGATAAAGACAGAATCACCTTAGAATAACAACAACAGGCAGCTTCCATCAGTGAAAGTAACCAAACGCTTTAATTCAAACAACTTCAAAGAAGAGAAGAAGCTCAGTGGCATTCATGACAGTTTATCAATCGAACACTTTCGGTTTGCTGCCACCGGCAATTTGACTCTAAGCATTTCCATCTGCGAGCCAGAAAACGCATGTCATTTTGGACACGGAGCAATGGTGGCGCAATGACACGTCATACCAAGTTGTTTAACCTGTAAATGTTGCACAACTATACTCCAGGGAGTGTCGAGTGACATCCTAACACATTCAGGCTATACTGAAGGCTCTGCACTTGTGCAAAGTAACTGAAAAAACAGAACCCATAAAGAAAGGAAATAGAAAAGCCTCACACTGTAAGTTAGTCACAGAAGGGGCCTTTGTTCCAAAACAGGAGCATATGAATGAAATCTAATTATTTAACATGCTCCGAGTAAGAATCCTTCTCAATTTAAACATCATTTAATATATTCAATTCCTAAGAAGAAGACTGATGCCACGAACACTCGTTCATTCATTCGAGTGTCAGCTACTTTAAAATGTCGGTTATTAAACAAAGAAAGTTTAGAGAGCAAACGTGTCGTTTTTCTGACTCTTCCTAACAATGAGTGCAGCACACAATCACTGAGCACCACAAGTGTGCACCCACACACAGGAGAGACAGACCTGCGACTTCCTCTCTCCTGCTGCATCACAATGATGAAAGTGATAAACTGTCTCACAAATTGAGGTGCTTGCAGCGCTCAACAGTAGTTTAGCTGGATGCCTGTAGTGTGCGTCTCTGTGAATGGAGTTGCAAATAAGCGAGCTGCTGCTAGACCATAAACGGAAGGTGTGAATAAAAGGCCAGCTGCCTCCTTTCTGCAGCACAGGCTGCTGTGTAGAAAAGGCTCTCTCCATATGTGGGAGCTAATGTTCCAACAAAGCCTGAGGGCGGCTGCTCCGATGGAGCGCGTTTAAAGTGCTGATAGAAAGCTCACCTGTATTTACGTTTCAGCAACAAGTTACAAAGAAAGATGATATAAATATCAGTACGGTTTGAACCTGTTGCAATCTACACCACAATCAGGGGAAAAATCTCATACTAGGCCGATATTTTACCTCATGGTGGTTTCCCTTTATTTGTGACCTCCATATTATGCACCGACATAATAGTGCAGGACACAGTCTCATCTCAAACAGCAGAGGCAGTGCAAGAGGATAAAGTCCCACCAGGCCCACAACAGTGTCATTTCTGAGTCAAACAGATCATGTAATCTTCCTAGCGTGTCGTGCCTCCTTACACAAGACAGCTGGAGCGACACTTGGACAGCAGCTCGCGTCATTTTCACGTCCTATCTGCCTCCAAACCGAGGCAAACGCTGAGCTCAGACGAATAGTGGAGGATCTCGCATGTTTGGGGTCCCCTGCTAACCAGACAGTGCACACATGTCAGTGGAGGCAAGGTAATCATACCAGCCGCGAGCTGCTTTGAACGAACGTAGCCTGGAACAAAACACCAGGGCGCATATGAGGCCCTTGCTTCATCTACAAAGTCTGTGGTTTGCGAGCAGAGGGGAAGCAGCAGTTAAGCAGCCGTACATCACTTTGCAGGGACATGCACTAAAATAGTAAACAGACCCGTCAACTCTCCTGCTGTCATTTTTCAACAGCTTTGACTTGGGAAAAAGCACATGATAACCCTTTTGCAGGTAGCCCCCAAAAACTGGAAAAAAAAGGGGGGTATTCCCTCCCTCCAGTGTTTCTCTGCAGCGCGCTCACACAAGGCAGGAAGTTCACAGCTCAAAGCGAAAGAGATGTTATCTGTAGCAAGACGTTGCTTTTTTCCATGAAGTCATCATGAGCCCCTGGGTAGAGTCGGCTGGCTGCAACAAAAGGGCTACTGTTCGACTGGCACAATGCGCGGCTCTGCTCAACAGCTTGGCAGCACATGCAAATGACAGGCCAGGAGCGATAGGTGCGTTGGTGTCAGGCCCAAACTCCACACAAAACCACGCAAACACCAGTATGTGTCGGTGCATGTACGCGATGAGGTAGACCTGGACAGGCTTGCTCATGATTAGCATGAGTCCAGCTGAGAGCCTCAATTGAAAGAGGCTTTGACAGGCAGACCTGGCAACCCGGGCCTGGTCCAGTATGTCACTCTGAAACGTTACATGACTTGACCCAGCTACTCCCTCTGTTATCGTGTAATTTGAACTGCAAAGTAGAGGCCCTGTGTAAGAACCACTGTTGAAAGTGAAAACAGGTTGTTCAAGATTTTCAGTGTGATTATTTACGGCACAGACCATGCCCCAAAGCCCGAACTCTGCAGGACAGCCGAGGATGCCCGTCCTCACACAGCTGCGCATACTGTGTCGGTATTTGGTCAGTGGACCCTTCTTTGGTTTTGGTGAGATACAAGCGCGCTGTCTTCTGCTCACTAAGCCACTTGACATGACTTCAAACCAGACCAGACACGAGGCGACCTCGGGGAGGGGGACTACGACCTCGGGGAGGGGGACTAACTCAAACACAGATGTAGCTGGATTGGTCAGGCTTGCATTACACCTTTCCTTCCCAGACGGGGCTTCTATGTGCTCGCTGCGAGGTGTTTCAACACGGGCATGTGCATCAATGAATGTGCCTCTGACATTTCCACTGACTGTGCGCCTGAGGGAACGGGGCTGTTTTTTACGCGCACGATCTGCCTCAGCTTGAAATATAACGGCTGCTGAGGGATTTCCTGGGAAATGAATCGATATACATCATGACACGCAGCAGCCACGAGCCGCAAATTTAAGAGCGAAATGATTTACAGAGCTACTCACCGTTCGGTCCATATTTCTCCAGGTTGGCTTTGACCTGTTCGAGAGTCAGCCCAGTGTTTTCGTTCACACCGAAGTTGTCTAAAACTTCAGTCGCCGATTTAGTGTGCGCATTTTCCATGTTGGTGTGCCGGGCTTAGATGATCAGACAGAAATGTAGTTCAGTCACATCTATTGTGGGAATCGGAGGGTGCGCGTGCCTGGAAGGTGTACGAGCAGTAATTTCCACCGAAGGACGCGGGAGCGGTCGGTCACCTGTCCCCCCCCCAAGTGAAGAAAACCTCCGGATCCGCGGTTCAGACGCTGCTCTTTCTGTGTTGCTCGACTGCCGCTGCTACTTCATCCCCATCTGAAGGTGTGCTGTGTCTGTGCCGACGCGGACCGCCTCTCGGTTGTTGTGGGCACTCCCTCCTGCCCTCATTGGCTGCGTGTACCTGAGCGCAGACCCCCCCCGCCCGCAGCCACCTCAGACATATCCCCTTGAAATAGGACCCGTGCTCCGTGTGGTGTAATGCGGGTTAATAACTTGTACATACTCTGTCATGGTTGCTGCTCCTTGTAGGGGGTTTGTCTTTTTTTTTTTGCCTAAACTTCAGCTGCTCATCAGAGGCTGAGTTGAACTTGAACAAGGCGCTGTTCAAAGCGCAGGTTTGAAAGCACAGCACACAAAACTACTGCTGCTGCTGCGTGTGAGAGACAAGTGCACATAGGAGCCGAAGACTTGAAGTGAAGGGAACTCAGCCCGGATGCAGCTCTGATGCCCGCTGCGCAGTGAGCATGTAGATGCGGTCATTTAGGTTTTTAGCTTAAAGACATGGCTGCCCTGCGCTCCAGGCTCATCCACCGTGGAGCCGAAAGCTGAGATAGAAGAGTGAAACATGTGCAGGTTCATCTGCACGTTTCACTCCAAAGTTTCTGTTTCACGCGTTGAAATTATTTTTCTTTTCTTTTTTTCTCCTTTTTTTGGAAATGACTGCAGCTCCAACTAATAGCTTTGTCACATGTTTGGAAATAATTAACTGAAATAGAAGCAGGAGTAAAAAATTAAAGTGTGTTCATATGGAAATTAGTTACTACGAGAATGATGAGACAGGAGATAATCTGAATGTTCTGTGGTTTCATTTTCAGGGAGTTAACTGTGAGAAAAAGTTATGAATGAGCAACATTTTCCACATGCTGCAGCTAACCGGACTAAATGAGGTTTCGACTACATTTACCACACAGGAACCCTCTGAAACACAGCTGTGGTTTTATTCGGTTTATTTGCAAGATAAAAATGCAAATGAAACAGTGAAAGAAATCATTTGACCACAATGAAGCACGATGGCTGTGGCGTCTTTTCAAAAGCGGGGATCACACTAACAGCTAAGCAGAACAAACGGTGACAGCTGTTCTTCGTCCTTGCGATGGTGCCAGAGTGTTCTCTAAAGGAGACTTGGCTGGAGTGTCCTTCTGAAGTCCATTCCTGGCTGCACCGGTACTGAGAAACAACCTTGAGTCCTCAGGAACGAGGCTGAATGCTTAAAAGGAAGATTTCAGATGCAGGCTTGAACTCATACAAGAGGAGAAAGCACATTTAAAGTGAGAACACATGCATACATTTCAGCTTATGAGGAATAAATAATAAATGCAGCATATTTGTGGCAACTTGTTTTTGGTATAAAGCATCTTATTTTGCAGCTGATGCAAAACCATTTAAGGTTAACACACATAAACCTGCAGCAGCAACACATTAAAATGCACCTAAAACACTTGCTTACATTCACTTCCTTCAGATAAGAGTGCAGGCGATCCTTAGTGCACACGAAAACATTATTTTGCAAATCATTTAACAAGGCCCCATTAAAACTTGAACTTCCTGGAAAATTGTCTTTTGCAATGATGCTCTTACATAGCATGGCGAGCAGACATCACTAAAACATTCAACTATCCCCGCCTGTTGGCCAATTAAACTCTCTTTCACCCTCTAACTGATATCTCAATGGTTGAGATGTCATCATCGGCCTGCCTGAGAAACATTACTGTTCGCAGTGCTTTACAGTTTCGAGTCGATGCTTATGGGAACAGAAGACGTTTTCCAAGAAGTTTCAAAAATTCATCGTCATCTGGGGAAGAATCAGCCAAATGAATGCTAGTAAGGAAACGGGCGTTCCAGATTTCACGTCCATCGCTTCATTCCGAGTGTGAGGCTGCAGCACAATCTCCCCGCAGTATGTGGACTCTGAAGTGGGTCTGCTGTTGGAGATCACAGGCACCGGACTGGGACCTCGTTGGGCACAAACTATAAAAGGAACAGGGTGCTCCAATTCTGTCCCTGCTCACAGCTGGCCTCTTCTGTCACAGCAGAAGAAAAAGTGTATTTATATCTGAAACTTACGTAACTTCCAGAACTGCTGTCTGGAGGATGGCAGCCGCTACGTGAAGTTCTGGGATGCTAAGTGCCTGGTAGTGTCCTCGCACTTGATTTGGAGGGCCTGTGTTTGCCTTCGTCTCCATGTTCAGTCCATTTCTGTTTGAAAAGCCAGTTATCCACACGTCCCAGCAGACAATATGACCACAGGTTCCACTTGGGCTGCTCGCTGCCCACTCACATGCACAGTCAGTGGGATTATTACTGACTTACAGCATCAAACTCTTTTTAAACTTGTGCTCGTGTGTGTGTGTGTCCATCCTGCTGTGTGAGCTAAAAGTTTTGCATCAGGCCTCACGGTGACATAAATTTCAAGCGAACCCCTCCAACACCAAAGCTCTTATGAAAAGGAAATCCCCACCTCCCCCCACCTCCACACACCCCTTTTTTTGGCTCGCTCCCTCTTTCCCTTCTGTGGCACACACTGGGGGACTGTACTAGTCTCAGTGCCAGTCACACAACATTTTCCACACACCACTGTCAGCCTTCCAATAGCATTTGCTTTCCCCTTTCGCTTGCAGGGTCATTTGCATGAGGGAAATGAGCCCTGCCCTTCCAAGCATAAAAAAAGACGTTCTCCTCCATCTCGACAGAACCCACGAGTGCCCACCGAAGATGACACACGCCACTCTCTGTGCGCCTGTGGTTTAGAAATCGATGTGAACTCCAGACTAATTTAAATGTAACTGTGAAAAACAGCCACCATTGATGTTCGCCGTAGAGCTCTGTCCCCAAAGCTGTGGGCCAGGCAGCTGCTGCTGACGCTGACTTTGACTCAAGGAGACGATGATGTCGTGAGGTGACCGCATTTTGGAGCAGGTGTACCTGACAGGCAGCCCAAGTGGGAAGTCATTCCCGCCCAGCCACTTTGCCATTAACAAACCTCTCTACCCCCTTTCCCGTTCACTTCTTCCCCATTCAGAGCTCTGCACATCTGTGAGAAATCCATCATTGCACAGTCTGCCGCGGCAGGATGCTGCGCCGCCCGTCAGCCCGAGAAAATAAGAGCAATGGTTTAATGTCAGGGGAGAACTGGCTGCTTTCATGCTGCTTTAATATCAGCTCAACACTTTACATTCACGTCTTGATTTAAGAAGCAGCCTCTTTTAGGGAGGTGTTCACTTTTCAGATCATCAGAACCAACATGCTCCAAATCCTGGTAATCATCCTATTCAGAGTGGACGGTTCTCGCACCATCTACTGTTGCGGGGACCTGCAGGAGTTGCACACATTTCTTATATTATTCCAAGTCCTCAAACCTTTCCCACAGCACCATTTCCACATTTTAAAAGCTTTACTTAGACATAATTTCACAAGTCGGCTCAGTATTTGCTCTGAAATCTTTCATGAAAAGCAGATATAGAGTTCAATCTGTTCTATTAAAAAGCTATGTTTCCATTTTCTCCTGCCGGTGTTAGTTTCCCACGTCTGTGAGAGCTAGTCAATAAGAGTCAAGTTGCACTTTGAGGTTACTTTCCCATCAGTAGATGCTGCCTGCTCGCACAGAGCCCCATGGATGGAGCAGAGTGATTACACCACGGTCCATGCTCCGTCTTGGCTTTGTGACAAACAAGCACTTGACTGGTAGGATTGCAGTCACTGTGGTTCAGCCTGGAGCTAGGCTCAAGCAAAAACGAGGAGGTAACGTCTTTTTAACTCCCTCATTTAACTTGTAGTCTTCAGCCCTGACCACCAATGATTCAAGTTACGTCGTGTGTGGCTACTTTAAAGGTTGCACAGCCTTTTGTTGAGACATACCACACCTTTTCACATATGCAATAGTACTTTCCAGGCCCTGTAAACCAAATTTGATTAGTTTAATGAGCAGTAGGCAAAAATGTGCAAAAGGAAATGTAAAACAGCCGCAGCTCTTCCCTCGGTGGTCCACGTGTCATAAGCTAAAAAAAGATTTCTGAGCTTCATTTTTGCATAAATTGACTCTCACCTTTCAAGGCGAACTGTTCTGCTGGAAATCAGATAAAAGACTGGATCTTAAATACTGTCTGTCACTCACCTGAGCTGGAGTGGAAAACAAAACCTGTGATTGGCCAAAGTCTCCAGTCAGAGCTTTAGGAGACTGGTTCCCTTCCACAATGTTTGTCTATGTTTATTCACATGACACTAAAACCGTGCTACCCACTCCAGGTTTAATGCCCCCCATCCAACTAGTGTTCCAGGGATACTTGACCCCATCCCAGTCCAGCATAGGTGGACTCAGTTGATTTCAATTTGGATATTTCCTATTCTCAGTGTCAGCTGGGCTCTAGCTGCAATCACATAAATACTGGTTCACAGTGGAGTATGAGACCAATGTGGGCAACATACAAATAAAGGCAGAACCATCCACATCACACTGAAAGACAATGTTGAATCATCAGTTAGCATCGGATGCAAATCTTTGTATCGGGGCAGAAAATCTCTGCAGGCACAGGAAGCAGAAGGAGGGTTTGAATCCATTCCCTAAAAAGGAACCCGTCCCATAACAAACAAACCTTACAGCAGCGCGAGAAAGAAGAGCCACAGCAGCTGCTCTCGTTACCCAATCACGTGGCCGGTTACATGTACACTGATGATTCAAAGTATAGTTGTCTTTTATGTCTGTGATTTCACCTCCTTTGTAACTCAGAAATTAACAGGAGTGATTTCAACACAGCCGGTGTTTTAAGACTGTGGTTAGTCCGTCTGCCTTTAACCTGTTATTCTGTGTTTGATGTCAGTAACCTGCACAATCTCTGACAGCCCACTTTCTACACTTGTCACTACTCATTTTCCCTTCTCCCCAAAGTCAACATTTTAATTGGCAACTGGCACATACACGTCATCATCATCATCATCATCACCAGCAGCAGCTCATCCAGGCTGTTTGTGGGCTCGATCGCTTTGGACCGGATGAGTCACTGTGTGATGACGGGCTCATCCTGTCACTCAGCCCCTCTGTAATGGAATCAGATGCAGCATATGAAGCAATTACCCGACTCGCTGACGACGTGCGTTTAAAAGGTGCTGTTCTGTGCTTTTTGCCACACAAACACAGAG